AAAAAAAAAAAAAAAGAAAAAGAAAAAAAAAACAATGCAGGTCTGGTACATGAGGCCAACAAGGAAGAGATGAAAAAAATAATGTAGTTTAACATAAGGGTAAATTTGTAAATGTCCATCTTATCGTATTCATTATCTAGGAAAACAAACACATAAAATAAATTATGATGATAATCTTATCTTGAGTAAATCAAACATAACAAACATTAGTTTACACTAATCTCTACACCCCAATCCTGAATCCCTAGATAAAAAATATCTAATCCGGTCTTCCTTAACAAACATGCTCTCAGTGTGTGACTATTATACACTTACCTTTCAATAACCACAAAAATATTAAGATTACTTTGAATTAAGTTAAAATATTTACATATTCATTTATTTTGTTTAAATTGTAATATCGTCTTTGTTTTTGTTTTTGATTAGCAGTTGGTGACATGTCAAGTAATCGAAAGGCCATACAAAGAGCAAACAACATTTTGATAAGTTCCAATCCTTTTGTGATAATTGACCTCTATGAAGATGAATCCATTGAACATGGAAAAACAACACATTCTAGATTTCGCATTCCATTTCAGCCAAATGAGGACTCAAGTTGCAATATAAATCAATCGAGTCCACTTGCAGAGCTGATTATTCGTGCATCCCTTATAATTTGGGATGAAGCTCCTATGATGAATAAGTATTATTTTGAAGCTTTTGATAACACGTTTAAGTCAACAATGTCTGTTGTCGACCCATCAAATAATAAGCATAAAGTGTTTGGAGGAAAACAGTTGTTTTTTGTGAAGATTTTTGGCAAATATTACTTGTTGTGCCCAAAGGAAGACATTGTTAATGCAACGATTAATGCATCTAAAATTTGGAAAAATTGTCGAGTTTTGAGATTGACTAAAAACATAAGACTTCATAGCCATGGTGGGAATGAAGAGTACCATAAATTGGTTGAGTTTGTCGAGTGGATTGCAAGAATTGGAGATGGAACAATTGGAAGAAGCGAAGATGGTTGTGCGGATATTGTCATACCTGGTGAATTTTTGCTGCGAAATTCTGATGATCCCATCGCAACCATCGTGGAAAGCACTTATCCAGTGGTTGAAGATTGCATTGATGATCCAAACTATTTAAAAAATAGAGCTATATTAGCTCCAACATTAGATGTTGTTGACTCCATCAATGAATATATGCAATCTTTGAATCAATCGGAGGGTCATACTTACTTAAGTTCTGACAACACATGCAAATTCGATGGTGGTGCTAATTTCTTGCATGATCTGCACACGTAGGAGTTCTTAAATAGTATAAAATGTTCTGGTGTTCCAAATCATGAATTACACTTAAAGGTTGAGACTCTTGTCATGTTGTTGAGACACATTGGTTATTTGATGGACTGTGTAATGAAACACGCTTTTTGATAACAAAGCTTGCCACTCACGTGCTTTAATGTAAGATTACGACAGGATCAAATGTTGGACATAAGGTATTGGTGCCAAGACTTTTCCTAACTCCATCTGATCTCAAGATACCCTTAAAGTTCCAGCGTATACAATTTTCTCTTATGGTTTCTTACGCAATGACAATCAACAAGAGTCAAGGGCAGTCGATATCCCATGTCGGACTTTACTTGAAAAGACTCATGTTTAGTCATGGTCAATTATACGTTGTTGTTTCTCGAGTCACTAATCCATAAGGATTGAAGATATTAATATGTGGCCACCGTAATGGGGAATAGAAAACTACCAACAATGTTGTCTATGAGAAGTTTTCCACAATATGTAATACCATACAATATTTAATTTTTACCATTGATTCAATGATATTGTTATTTATTTGTCATTTACTTTTTATGATAATATATATATATATATATATATATTAATATATTTATTATAAAACTTAATAAACATGTCCCGTGCATTGCATGGGTGAATATACTAAGTCTTATTATTACTAAAAGTCTAAAATCCTTGTTCATTAATCAATCGAGGGATACTTGCTTATCAATATTAACGGATTGAATTTTAATTTTAACAAAATCAAACTAAAAATAACGAGTCTTAACAAAATAGCATCGACAACAATTTGAGTTTTATTGACCCAAAATTTCAGTTTTAATGAACTAAAGACCAGATTTGACCGAGTTCATTGTTACCCGAATTAAATAGACTAACCGGATCGGTTCTGGCTCCGGTCGGTCTGGGTGGAAAAACAATGATCTAATCTCGAGACTCCCCCAAAACCTGCTTATAAATGCATGCATCCATATCAAAACCGTCCATGGCAAATACTCTTTTCATTTATTTTAGGCTCGTACATAATGCAAATTATTATTGCACCACCAAATTTTTTTGTTTTTAAATGTCACTCACAACTTCTCCGCAATTATCAATAAACCATACAACACTTCTTTCATTTTACTATTAATTAACAATTCAACATTTTTTTTTTATTTTGCTATTAATATTGTATATTAATTATTATCATTCTACAATTTTAATTGGGTCATATAAAAGACTTTAACTCTCTTTTATTACCCAGGCTAGGGCTGATATTTTTGAATGAAAACCGAACCGAACCGATGAGAAAATAAAGCGAACTGAACGGACTTAAGTGTAACAATAACTGAAATTCAGTTACCGAAATGTTATCGGTTCTTCGGTTACCGAAATGTTATTGGTTCTGAACCCATTAGGGTTCGATTTGAAATCATTATGTCATGTCTTTTGCCCCCTCTCAACTAATTTTCTAGTTTAGCTCCTAAAAATACTCTATATATAATTGAAAAAAATTTAAAATTAAATATCCATTCATTAACCCAGTGACCCGACGGTTGAACTGGTGATCCGAAAACCTGCCCGGGTCAATTACTGGGCCGAGTTTAAAACTATGCAAAGAAGTATAGAAATTGGTTGATATCATGATAATTTTATTCTATAGCTTATGTAGGCTTTGCCTCCTTTTTTTGTACCAAAAAANAAAAAAAAAAAAAAAAAAAATTATCATGGCAAGCACAATATCAATATAATGATAAGTAATTCTCATATAAAAAGTATCTCACAATGACCAGATCAAACATTACAACTACAAAAAACACTTCAATTTTTGTTTTTTATCGATTGTTTCAAAGTTGATGCTCTCTCCATTTATCCCTTTCTTCAACGGCTCAATGGTCAAGAATTCTACTCCGATACTCTTCTCAGACAACTAAAAGACGTTATGAGGTAGTAGATGACGTCACTCGTTGTTAAGTACTTTTTATAGCAAAATACCAAAATGTTACATCGCACATACAAAGCATATTTTCCTATCAATGTTGAAACTTCATGCAAATGTAACAAGTTACATATTATATTATACAGATTTTTACATGCAAATGTAACAAGTTACATATATTACTATATTAGAATATAGGATAATGCTCTCCTACTCACGGTGGACACATGTTAATATGTCCATCGTTTATGTCGCATGCACACATTGGTGATGTATTCTTTCGAACATAATAACATCACAAATGCCATATAAACGGTGAACAAATTAATATGTGCACACTATAAATAGAAGAGCATTACTGCCATATATTATACAGATTTTTACGACACAATAATCTAACCACAAGACCCCCAAAACCTGCTTATAAATGCATGCAAAATACTCTTTTCATTTATTTTTACGCTCGTGCACAATACAAATTTGTCTATTTTACATGTTTATCACATTTTTTTTAAAAAAAAAAAAAAACTGATTGAATTTCAACATCTGATTATAACTAAAATCCTTGTTCATTAATCAATTGAGCACAACTTGCTTAGAAAATAATAACTGATTGAATTATATAATTTAATATCAAACTAAAGATAACGAGTTTTCACAAAATAGCTCGACTCAGAAACAATTTGAGTTTTATTGAACCAAAATTTCAATTTTAACGAACTAAACTCATGAGCAGTTCATTTAATTTAATTGACTGCTAGTGGTAATATTTTTTATAAATAATAAAACTATATCAAAATCAACAAAATATAGGCTACCCCAATTTTGATAATTTTAGCTAAAAAGGGTGTCAAAAAAATAAAATAAAATAAAATAAAATAAAATAAATAAATAATCCGAAATGTACCTGAAAAACCCCAAATTTGATATTTAGCTAAAAAGCGTGTGACCAAAAAATAAAAAATAAAAATAAAAAATCAGAAATGTACCTGAAAAAGGCGTTCTGGAGCGAATCCTCACCGGAAGCCGGTACGGCGTCGCCGATTATTGAGTCGATCAAAACCCTCGAGAGGCAGAGATTGTATCGCGAGTTGACCCTCTCGATCCGGGCCGGGCTCCGGGAGGCTCGGGCCGAGTTCTCATTCCTACGTATTCGCGGGCTTCGTAGCCTTCTCAAGTTCCTCCAATCCGTCGCCCAATCGGAAGCTACGATTGATCTCTTTCACCACTCGCAATCAATTCCCCAGCTCCAAGGTATGTATGACTCGGATTTATTCGATTTTTTCCAGTTGTCTGTTGATTTTTGTTAATTATTATTATTTTTTTTAAGATTATATTGAGAGCTGAAGAGTGATTTTTGATTGTTTGGCAATCATTTTATGTAAAAATGGCTATACAATTGGAAGCTTTTTATGCTGTGTAATAAAATCTTTAGCTGGTATTTTGATATCAATGCAAAACGCAGCTCACTTGGAGGGATTTTGATATCAACACTAATATGTTACACTCATTTGTTAGTGCGAAGCTTCTCCTGTGTGTTGAACTCAGTGTTTTAAAACGCGCATCGCGCATCGCGTCGCGTTTTGGTCTTTATACTGCGTAGCGTAAATAGCGTAGCGCATTGCGTAAGCTATTCGAACACTTAAATTTTTATGCCAAAAATAATAATATATATATATATATATATAACCATACAAGTAAATAAATAATTGAAATGGTCTTAAACATAAACTTAGACATTATTAAATCTATAAAATAACATTCAAATATTAAATCTTACAAACAACCACAGTCTTAATGTTTAAGTAAAGACTCAATCTAAAAATAATCAGTGTCATCCAATTGAATTTGACTATAATCTTCAATGCTATCAATGTACATTGGGAGATTTCCACTATTAAAGATCATTGGTACAGTTTCACCAAATTCTTGCATCTCCTCGTCAATATGAATGTCAATAAGATCATTATTTCCAGCCGATATCTCTATTTGCCTACATTTAAACTGAAAACGAAAAAAAAAATATCATTAACCCAAAGTTTATTCATTTGTTCACAAATCACATCATGCTTGTTTAAAAATCACAACAGTAATTGCAATTGCAAATTTGACTCTAATCAGAAGTAACCACAATACTATTATGAAAGTTTAGAAAAATTATTTGAACCTTAGTCCTAAATGGATATGTTTCATATTGAAGTCTATATGGATATGTTCCATAATGATTACTGAAAATCAAGGCAACATATTTTTGAAAAACTACAACAAGAACCAGTCAATCATCAATGTGGGTAAATCAGGATGTTCATAATCTCAAAAAAAATCAAAGTAAAAAACAGAGTCCCATTTTTATAGAAAAAAAAGCCCCAATCACCAAATCAAGGAAAATTCTTTTATATATGCAAGAACCAGTAAATCATTTATATTTCACCAAATCACCAAATTCATTTATATACCAAGAACCAAGTCACAAATCCAAAGCAAAGCCCCAATAACCAAATCATCATACCAACTCATCAATTAAAATAAAAAATCAATCCTCAAAACAGCAAGAACCAGTCAATCATTTATATCTCATTCTATTAATTCAATAAATGATCATGCTAATTAAACAAAAAATCTAAATCACCAAGTGAATGAATAAAAAAGTCCCAATTTAAATTGAAGTTCGGATGAAGGTATTCATAATCTTCAATAAAAAAAAATGTTACCTATGGAGTCAGGAGTCGGGAGTCGGGAGTCGAGAGCCGGGGAGAGGGGAATCTGGGGTTGGCGAGAGCCGAAAATCAGGGAATTGGAGTTGCGAGATGCTTATGTTGTGAGAAGCAGGTTGGTTGTGAGGAGGCTGAGGCGGCGGAGTTCCTACTCTCGTCGGGCTGTGGTGGAGGCGTGAAGGCGTGGAGGTTGCAGTGGAGGGCTTGGAGGATGGTGGAACCAGTGAGAATTTGAGATGATGAAAGGATGAAACAAGGGTTTCGTGAGTGGAGGGCTTTGATTTTGTTTTTCTTTTGTTTTTTTTTTTACCTATAAGATTGAAAAAGGGTCAAAAGGCGTGAGAATTATGCGCTATTGCGTAAAAAGCGCAATATATCGCCAGAAAAGCATGCCACGTCACCATTAACGTACGCATTTCATGAACTGCGCGAATTATAATGCGCTACGGCGCATTTTTTAGTTTAATTGCGCTGTTTCGCGCTACATAGCGCGCTAAAGTGTGCTTTTTAAAACACTGGTCCGGACAGGATGACTTATGCTGACCAAATTTTCAAAGAGAATTTTTTGTTTGTTTCGGACAAACTTTCGGAGGTATACCTCTCATTTCATTAGATTGACAGACAGTGAAAAAATACTTGGGGACTAATTATGAGAAGCTTGTATTTTCTGGTAAACCCTCGTATTCTCTTAGAAAGTTGTCCAATGAGAAGTTAACTGTGGTACGCTCTTTAAAATTCAACAGTCTAGTCTAATAATAAATGTTCAGTTCTTATTAGTCTAATAATAAATGTTCAGTTCTTATTAGTTTAAAATTCAACAGTCTACTCTATAAATAAATGTTCAGTTCTTATTAGTTTTGCAATTTTGATAGCTTCTATATGCGATCATCGGAGAAAATGCAGAGAAGAGGTCGACAATCTTTCCAAACTTTGCAAAAAAAAAAAAAATGCGGAGCCTGATTTAGGTCAAAGTCGTCCTGGTTGTCCAAGTGTAGCCTATGCCATTTTTTTTAATCAATAAATACAAATATCATGGCCTGAAAATGCTACACTTGTTTATCGTAGTATTGTTATTTGACATTACATTTATATAACATTCTTGCCCCAGTTTTCATTTATGCTTTAAATATTGTTCTTATTGTTTTTATTATTTTTTCAAGAATTAATGGATAATTTTGCCGTGGAGCGAGAGAATTTTTTTTTTCCCAAAATACTTTGTGCAAAAAGTTATCCCGGGATTAATTTAAAGATATGATTCAACATCGTGAGAAACCTAAATTTGTTGAAATGGAGAAGAATATACATTGTTTTGTAGATATATGTGTTATTTTCGACGGGAATAGATTTCCGCATCCATTAGATCGTACCACTCAAATTGAGCTATTAAATTCAAATAAGGCGACGTATAGGTCACCAGTGAATTCATGATTTGTGATAGAATTCAGACCCGTATTTAGCATTATTGGTTAGTGGGGAGGTATGATATTCTTCCTCAAGCTTCTCACTAGATCAGTCGATGGTGGATGCTTGTGTTGTATTTTCTGAAATTATGCTTCTAGGTTTAGTTTGGCTGTCGTCTCTTATTTCGATTCCGTGGTTTGTTTTTAAGAGGAACGATGGTATGTCTGAAACAATGATTGTTTTTGTTCTTATGTGAATGTGTTGGAGTTGAGATTACAATGAAAAGCATTTGGTGTGCACACAAAATTGTGAGATGTGCGCACCAAAACGTGGTTTGCATGTGCTACAGCCATGAAGCTTCCCATTGTAATCTCAACTCCAACACATTCATATAAGAGCAAAAACAATTGCATTCTATTAGACATACCACCGTTTCTCTTAAAAACAAACCACCGAATTAAAATAAGAGACGACAACCAAACTAAACCTAGAAGCATCATATCAGACAAGACAACAAAAGCATCCACTATCGACTGATCCAAGGAGAAGCTTGAGAACGAATATCATACCTCTCTAATAGCCAATAATGCTAAAATGACGGGTCTGAATTCTATCACAAATCGTGAATTCGCCGGTGACCAATGTCGCCTTTTTTGAATGCCAATAGCTCAATTTGGGTGGTACGGTCTGATGGTTGCGTAAATCTGTTGCCGTCGAAAATAGCACGTCTCTACGAGAGAATGTACATTCTTTTCCATTTCAACAAATTTGGTCTTCCCACGATGTTGAATCATATCTTTAAATTCATTGTTCATTGCGGGAGAATTATCTTGAGAAAAAAAAATTTCGCACCACTGCAAAATTATCCCTTAATTTTGAAAAAATAAAAAATCAAATAATAACAAATATTTAAAACATAAATAAAACGATACCTCGGGCAAAATGTCATGTAAATGTAAGGCCAAATAACAATAGTGCGGAACAGACAAGTGTATCCTTTTCAGGCCTAATATTTGTATTTATTGATTAAAAAAGTAGCATATGCTACATTTCGACAACCAGGTCGACTTCGATCTAAATCAGGCTCCGCATTGTTTTTTTCAAAGTTTTGGAAAGATTGTCAACATCTTATACGCATTCTCTCCGATCGCATATAAAAGTAATCAAAATTAAAAAACTAATGAGAACTGAACATTTAAATAGACTTTTGAACTTAAAGGAAGGTACCGTAATTAACTTCTCATCGGACAACTTTCTAAGGGAATACGCATTCTCTCCGCGCATATAAAAGTAATCAAAATTAAAAAACTAATGAGAACTGAACATTTAAATAGACTTTTGAACTTAAAGGAAGGTACCGTAATTAACTTCTCATCGGACAACTTTCTAAGGGAATACGGGGGTTTACTAGAAAATATATACATGTTTCTCATAATCAGTCCCAAGTATTTTTCACCGGTCTGTCAATCTAATAAAATGAAAGTTCTACCCCCGAAAGTCTTGTCCGACACAAACAGAAGATTCTCTTTTGAGAATTTGGTCAGCGGAGTCAAACTGTCCGAACAGAAACACCATACTCATCGGTAGCTGATCGGAAACTTGAAAACAATAGGGCGAGAGGGCTCATTGTCTGAAAAGGCGGAGGTGGAGAATTGATTGAGCTACAAGAATATAGAGAAAAATAAGTAGGTAATCATCTCTACCAACTTTCCATAAAGAGTTTAATAGAAAAACATTTCAAACTTGACAAAGTCTATTTTACATTTAGTATTACTTTACATTTTAATTTAGTAGTATTTTACATTTAGTCACATTTTCTGAGATTTAATTATTTTACATTTCACTCATTTAGACATCAGGTTTGATATTTTCATATTTAAAAAATGATGTCGATAACTAGTGGGCTTGGGGATTGGCTTATATTTTCCTATAAATATTTAATACAAGCTAGTACGTACCCCGTGCATCGCACGAGACAGAGATACTAAATGAGTTATTTTCACAAGCTTTGATCGTTTAAGTCTATAGAGCAATAGGGTTATTCATTTTCCACCTTACTTGATGAGCGTTAAGTGTTTATAATTTATTTGCCACCTCTTTTAATCAGCGTTCGTTTTTTATCCAAATCATTAAATATGAGCATGTTAGAGCTAACTTGTAAAACAATTAATATATTATCTATAAATAATACATTTATACTAATATAAGTTTGATTTTAGTATATGTATATACTAATATAAATTTGATTTTAGTATATGTATTTATTGCTTGATATAAAAGAAAATAACAATTTTACTTATTTTTGTTCACCATATAATACTTAGTTATTATTTTTTTACAAACTTTGTTGTCATGTAATGTCATTATGTTTTATAAAGTTATAGAAGTTGTACGTCTTCTTTTTCTTTTTATTTTAGAAAAATATTTAATGCACGTTAGTATTGCTTGTGTATGTAATCAATCTAAAATATGTAAATAAATCTAAAATTAAATAGTGTATAACTATTTTACAAAATATAAACACATCTTTTGTTAGAATTTAATTTTTTGGTATACTCATTAAAAACTTTGATTTTGCAAATGCCAAAAACTCAATCCTTAGATAATCAAGTATTTTCTAATTTTTATTATTATGATTTATTGTTTATTTAACATATTTTGAAATTAAAATATATTTTACAAGAATTTCATTATAGAAATCAAAATAAAAAAAAAATGATAAAAATAAAATAATCATGGTTGCAAATATATACAAATAAAATCTAAAGAATAGTTAATATATTGTAATTTTAATATTTGACCATTAGTAAAAATATTTAATGTATTTTGTCATTATCTGTTAAATGGAAATTATATTAATTTGAAGAATAATTTAATTTTTTTTATATATAACGAAATATTGCTTAAGGAAAAATTATATTGGGAAAGATTAATTCACCAACTTGATTTCACATGATTAGTTGGAATAAAAAATTACACCTAGGTTGTTACGATTTTCTATAAATATTTTTGGATAAAAATTGAATATTTGTAAAAAAAAAAAAATTAATATTATGCTTAGAACTTAAAATATATCTTAACCAAAATATTATCAACATGAATAACGGATAATCAATCTTGTAATTTATTATAATGGATATTAATGAAATTATTGCATATATTAATAAAATTATTTAAGGAAACAATATTCTTATCCTATCGGATTTGATCTTATTGGAAAACATGTATATGGAAGCAATTAATGCATATATTTGAAAAATTTCTAAGAAAAGGTATGCATTAAATGCACCCAAAATATTTTACTACTATCTTTAGTAAATGGTTATTCTTATTATATATACTAGTATAGAGCCCGTGCGATGCACGGGGTGCACAATTTTAAGGTCATTTATCCAGTCTTATAATTATTTAAATAAATACAAAAATGTACGGGATATATATAGTACGTGAACTGTAATAGGCCAAAATGTGAACATGGGTGATGCACGGGGTGCACAAATTTAAGGTCATTTATTAGTACAGAGCCCGTGCGATGCATATGGTGCACAATTTTCTAGTATGTGTAATACAAATACATACCTTATGCACAGGACATAAACACTAAATGAGTCATTTCCACAAAGCTTGCCCGTTAAGTAGCTCCTGAACACGGCTGCACAATTTGTAGTACGTACCATAAAATCAGAACAGATTTCCATACAATTAGATAATAAATTAGATAATAAATAAAACCTTTTTTATATTAGTAAATATTTTACGTACATTTTTTTTACTTATCGGATGTTATGAGATTTTTTTGTTAAACCGACTTTATGGGATATAATACAAATACAA